TCAATTTGAGGCTTAAAGACTTGTGACATGTTGTGACATCATTATCCAATATTATCCATGTGCAGCAGGATCTTCCACAGACAGAAGCCTAGGGGTTGATGACTGCAGTTGTAATCAGGCTTGTTCCAGCCATTTTTGCCGGATGCCAAGCCACAGCACTTCCACACCACAGAATGTCATTGAAAGCTTTTATCGAAGCAAGCCATAGCACGCGCCATATGCTTTAAAAGTCCCTTCGAGCTATGGCGCGGAAGCTTTGCCTTTTGGCCTTGTTGCTTTTGGCCTTGGTGCCTGCATCGAGAAGGACTTGGGAAGCCTGCATGTTGCTCCATGCTTCACGACTGAGAAGCATCATTAGGCAGCAGCCACTAGCCACGTGTTCACAAGTGCACTGCAGATCTTTTGATGCCTTTTCGGCACCGACATCGCCTACATCAACCCAGAGGTCACCCGGACGAGGGCGAGGCTTTGCTGCGTTTGCACCAACTCTGATCCACTTCGAACGGCATTTTCACATTGTTTGTTCTTTCTCTGCCAGTTCCTGTAGCACGTTGAAATGGCCCAAGAATTGCCACAATCAGTTACCCCGCATGTGATCTTTTAGGATCAAAGACATACAGACGCAGAGATGTGTCTGGGCTGCCCGTGCAAATTCTGCACCCGTCAAAGACTGAGCGATGAAAGTCTGGCAGTGATAGTTTTTTGATCAAGAAGTTAAGGTCCAAAGTGATGCGTGGCAAGCCTAAAGCCTTTTGGAGACATGGCGCAGACAGGGCAGACAGGGCACTTGGGCACGCGCTTGCTGCGTCGAAAATTGCGTTGAGCAGAGGCTGGCAGACAAGAGACTAGACTAGACCCGACTAGACTAAGTAGATCCATGTAACCCCCACATGATTCCAAAAGGTCATGCCTTTTCAATTGATTGACATAGTTTGATTCTTTGAGATGGCCTCTTTGGTTCTCTTGCCGAGGAAAGATGTTCTGCGTGTGTGGGAGCGTGAGATTCCAAAACCAGACTTTGCCGTTCACCACGCAGCAAAGGTCGGGTTGTGCAGCGTTCTCTCGTGTGACACCCTCGCGGTGTTTCCATCCTCTTTTAGATCTGTTTTCTTATTCGGGTGTGCTGTTCAGGCTGTCCGGCTGCTGCCTAAAGTCAACTTCACTGGCATGCCGCCAAAGCATCCAGTCCTCATGAACCTTCTGAAGAGAACAAAGGTGTGGTCAATGTGCCAGCAATTTTGACGACTTTTTTGTGTGTGCTTTGTGCAGCTTCTTGTTGAACAACACCCTTTTGATCTATTATTTGTTTGAAGCTCTCCAGTCATGTGTTCAAGCAACACGCGCTCTTGGGCAACACAGCTGCCTTGCTGCCTTGCTGCCTTGCTTGCACCACGTGGAGAGAGGTAGCCCCAATTGTGAACTGGATGGACAGTTTGACATTCCCGTCACGGGGCGTGGCATTACTCAAGAAATGACAACTGCATGGCACTTGTGTCCATATGCGCGAGAGAGAGAGAGAGAGAGACAGAGACAGAGACAGAGACAGAGAAAGAGAAAGAGAAAGAGGAAGAGGAAGAGGAAGAGAGAGAGAGAGAGAGGGAGGGCACGCGAGTGGAGGGAGGGAGGGGGTGAGCGAGCAAGCCCGAGAGTACATTGTCGGTGACGCGGTGACACTGTTCGCATTTTCTGCTGCATGCAGGAAGTTGAAACTAGTAACTAGTAATTACCTCCAGTAATTACCTCTCGAATGAGGCGGCTGGGATCGGAGCACAGCAAACCAGTGCAAACACAGACATTCACCTTGCCAACAACAGCTCCTCATTCCCTAGCCACGTGCTAGTCATGAGGGGAAACCGTGAGTAGAATGAGTAGAATGGGTTTGTATTGGTGGACACTTGCAGGCCAGAATGGTTCTTGTCATGTATTGAGTTTGTAGACAAGAGCCGCCAACATCCCGGAATGGAAGGAATTCCTGGAGGAGGACAACTGTTGCCCGGCAGAAATGATGGAACCGCCACCGACCAACAGCAAGACAAACCAACAACCCGATGGTCCGATGGCAAGGCAATTTGAGGTTTGCTTCCGCCAATGAACTGGGCAGCTAGTCGCTGGTTGATGCACTACCTAGGCACAATGATGGTAGAGGATCCGGAGAAACCTCGAGGAGGACGCGCTCACCGCATTGGGCTATGTACTGAGGATGCGCAAGCCATGCAGCTTGGCCATTTCGGCCGCTGGGAGGGCTGGCTCGCAATGGAGATGGTGCATGCTGATTGTACAGCTCTTTAGTAAGGAGCTTCTTGCTCCCAGTAGCGATGCCAGGAGCCCCTAATGGCTTCCTTGCTCCTAGTAGTAAGGCCAGGAGCCCCTAGTAGCGTCATTGCTTGTGCCCAGGATGCGTGCAGCAACGGTTCTGCAGAGGTCCATCCCCGAGTTGGACCGTGACATTGCACCACTGCTGCAGGTCAAGGCGGCTGGCGGTCTGAAGGGGTAGTTTGTGCCTTGCGTTCAATCGTGGTCACGAGGTGTCTTTGAAGTGGTCGAAAGAAGCAATATGTTCCCATTGCACGCGTGCAACAGGTGTAACATTGCCATCATGTGCCATCTCAACTCAGACTCTTTGAACGAAGCATGCTATGCAACAGAGGTGACTGTGACCTTTTCTTGGAAGGTGAGAGATGCCGTGAATGCAATGAGCAACAAGGAGGGTCTCCAGACTTCTCAAGAAGCGAAAGAAAAAGAACGGCTCTGTGGAGCCCCGGACGGATCAGCCGGTTTTGACCTCGCAGGATGTGGTCCGAATGCTGCTCATTGGGAATCTGAAGGGGGCTGAGACTTGGTCGCGGCTGCTATCTCGCCTTGGGCCAGAACTAGCTGATGATATTGACCTTGAGGACTCTTTTTCATTTTTGCCCACAGGGAGAGAGATGCCGTGAGAGAGCAACATGTTCTACAGTTTTTCTACAGTCTGTCTGCCGCAAGCACACGGGCACCAGATTTGGAGGAGGTAGCTCCAATCATTCAGCTGCTTTGCTCGCAGCAGCCGACCATTGAAGCTACTACGGCCCTTGACCAAGGAACAGGATGCAGAGATATTCGATCTATCATCAGAGTCTTCACATGACCTGTTTCATATGTGCAGGACAGCCCGTCAAGACCTCTCCAAAGGTGGAAGGTGTGGTGGTGAATCACCAAGCACTCTGCATGATTTCATGCAACGCCTGCAGCAAACGTGGCAGATGTCTTTGCCCTCTGAGCTCTAAATCTAAACGCTGCAGGCCTCAGGGCAGAAGAGAGTGGTCATTTGTTGGTCATTCTTCGCGATCAGGCGAGGCAGCATTTCTATGAACAGGCAAGAGGCAAAGAACTTATGGCGGTATATAGGTTCATCATGGTTCATCCGGATTTCCAGGTGGTTACATACTTGGATGTGATGGAGCTGCGAGATGCTGCTGCTGCTATTTGGTGGCTTGGCAATTCCGGCTTAATGAACAATCAGCTGCAAGAGGCTGCAAGCACATTCATCCTTCGAAGAGCGTCTTGCTTGCACTTGTAGTGCATTTGGTGATTCCCTCTTTGGAAGGACTGTGGAAGATTCTTGCCTCCAGGTCATGTCAATGCTGCCACAGCAATATGACCCATCAGTTTGGCAGATAGCTTGCTCTTTTGCCAAAGTGCAGAGAGAGGTCAGCTTCCTTTGAAATACAGACGCTACTAGGGGCTCTACTACTAGGTGCAAGGACGCTACTAGGGGCTCCTGCCATCGCTACTAGGAACAAGAACGCTATTTGTTTTGGATCCTTTGGGCATCCCAAACTGCACCCTGCTCCCTGTTGATCCAACCCTGTGGGTGCAGGAGCCGTCGCTGCTCAAGGCTGTAGCACGCTTGGCCTTGAAGAACGATCTAGGGACAATGACCAACTGGGCTTCTTGGAATGGCACTGGATGTAGACGAAGTCATCAGAATCTGGTCATTACTGGCAGTCTCCCCTTTGGAATCTTTTGAGGCTGTGGCGGTGATGTCTTGGTCGCACCTAAGCTTAGCTTATACTTCTTCCGTGCTAGACATCCGAGCATACTTCCTCGAGAGGCAGTTAACCTTTCCGTCAGCTAGTCCCGTAGCCATAGCACCACACGAAAAACGTGGCGGTTTTCCACTGGGTAAGGTACGTGCAGGCGCACTACCGTAGTCACTTGCAGCAAAGTTGGAAGCTCTACTTAGGTACACGCAGCTCGAGCGATCCCAGGACTCAATGGCAAAAAAGTCTCCGTAAATCTGAACATGATCTCCGTGCCTTTGTTAACTCCTCAACGCGTTGTAGTGGCAGGATGGCCTGAGCAGTTTCCGCAACAGACTGAAGGCTGAGGCCAAGCTTCGGGGAATCACGCAGGAACAGGTGGAAGAAAGTCCATGGCTGGAATACAGCGAGGAGCCATGCAGCTGTGACACGATCTGAGGAGTCATGTTTGATATATATCATTATATATCTATATATATATATATGCATTGAAACTCCCGTCTCCCTGCACTGTGGGAGGAGATGGACAAGTTCTGGCTTGCACAGAGGATCGAGCCCTGCTTGAGCTGGAGATTTTGCTAGCCTCTAGGTTCTGCAGCACATGTGCAGAGCATGGTGTAGCTAGCGCCGCCACCAAGGACAAGCGACCTTTGTTCATTGCCCCTCGCCCTGTGAAGCTGCTGCAGAAGCGATCTGCCAAAGCTGTTCCTCGGAAGGGCATGAAGACCAGACACCACGAAATTCACTTGCGCGCACGCTTTGAAGATAGCGAGGGGCCAATGGCAAGTGGTGTATAGCGTCATACTGCCTACAAGAGTGCTCTTAAGAGCACCTGCTGGTTTTGGTGATTTGAGTGCTCGGAGTCTGAGGATGCTGAGCGTGCTGCAGAAGTTGGCAAGCTGACCTCTCTTCCAAATTGGCGAGAGGCCTCCCAATTCCGAACATGGGATTTTCAAGGAGCGGTAAAGGTAATGTGAATCATGAGTAGCCCTCCGTTGTGCTATTGGCAATATTTGGCGACGCGAAACGTGACCGGTGTGGAACTGAAATAGCAGACGAAGAGTCCTGCCAAGAAACTTACCGTGCAGGTAGAGTTTGACGATTCAGATGTGGCTGTGGCGGCGGATTTGGAGGAGTTCCATTTGTTTGAGACACGAGAACCTGAGCAGGTGTCTGATTGATGACAAAAGGGCGTTAGCAACCTGAGTTCTCGACATCAGTCTCTATATTAATGCATCTACAAACAGTGGATGACAGTGGAGAGATCGAGCATTAGTGAATATGAGCTGGAAGGTAGTTGGCACTTGGGACATCTTGGCACCATTGACCTCCCCCCAAAAAGGATATGTTTCTTGCTTTGCACCTGTGGGATTAGCAGCATTTTTGCTGGTAGCGGCGCCGGACCAAGGAGTCACAGCAAACTTCAGTTTGTATTTTGCACACCTTCAGTTTTTGTTCCCTCTCCTGCCTCTCCTCGGGGTGACCAATGGACAGTTGCACAATGATGGCGCAAAAACATCGCAGCAACGATGTTCCCTCGCCATGGGTGTCCTGACGCTTTACACTTCCTGCAGCCTGGTGGCCTTGGGTGTTTCTAAGACTTTGCAGTTGGATGATTTCCGGCGGCTCCGGAGGGAGGCCTCCGCACTGCTGGGCGAACGCCCAAGTTTCTTGCGGAGTTTGGAGGGCCCCAGAAGACTTTGGGGCCATGGAATGGAAGGTGTTGGATTGGGTCGCCCCGAGATCATCGTGGACATCGATTTCCAAGGTGCAACGCATCCCCAGCCAATTTCGATAAGGTTGTACTTCTCGGAAGGCAAGATCAATGCAAGGTGGCTACTTCCTTCCAGCCCACGGGGGGAGGACAAGCTGAAATCCTTCATGGAAAGCCTGCTGAGGGGCAGCCCCTTGTCACATGTGGTGCCTGCACTCTGGGAGCAAGTCATCTCACCGGAAGCCCCATGGGGGGCGACCCGAAGCACAAGCTACCGCGCTCGTACCTTGCACCGTGTACCTCATCTCACTTCATTGTGATTTATGGTTGTTTGTTGTTGTTTGTTGTTTGATGTATGGCACCAGTCAGTGCCCCACACATGTTGCTGAGTGCCTTGAACTGCAAGAAAGGAACTCTACGGCTCTTGGCTCAGCTTCCTTGATCCAAATCTACTGTTGCTCTGCCAAAAGCTGACGGAAACAGATTCTAAACTCAGATGTGGCACGCTAGTTATATACCCCTTCACTTTTGAGTCGCTCGCTTATTCTTTTCGACATCCTGCCCCCTACCCCTGAGGCTTCTTCTCAAGCGGTTGCAACAAGGCTCCACAGGCACTCACACAGCATGTGGCCGATGTGTGGGGAAGAAGGGACCTTCTTTCCCGGGCTGGCGGCAACTGTTTTTGAAGCTTGGGTTTGAGGACTGAGAACTTGCATTGAGTGTTCATGGACTCGACCTTCAGTTTCATCCATTTGCCGTGTGCTGAATTGGTTTCCCTCAGGAGATCAGCCGAGGCGTGTATGCCTTCCAAGCTATGACTCCCCGATTTTGCAGCCTTTTTCTTCAAGAGCTATCATGGTTTGAACACGCTGGCTTGAGAAGATCTCGGCCGAACTCAATGAACAAATATGGGACTGTGCTTGATGAAATGGACCTCTCACCTATGATTGCACACTTTCAACAACAAGTGCTACAGCCTTTGTCACGGCTCCTTTTCCCTGGCATTGGCGATGAACTTGATGGCCACCATGCCTTTGTTGTGCGCTACCGGGTTGAAGGGGCTGGAGACATGGACCTGGCACCGCATCGTGATGATTCGGAAGTCACTTTTAACTTGGCCTTGGGCCGGCGATGGGCAGGCTGCGAGCTAACCTTCTGTGGCCTTATGCAGGACCAAGATGTATACCATCATCGGCTTAGCCACAAGTTTCCAGGTCCTTGTGTCGATTCTATTAGGCTCCTTTTAGTTCTCCGTTTAGATCCCTTGATATCGAGCGTTTTCGCGCGCATGGGTGGAACCTTTTAGTGGGCTGTATTGACCTTGGTGAGTGCCTTCGTGCGGTGGTGTTTCCAGGGACCATCCGCCGGTGTTTCCAAGGTGAAGGCTGGGCGGTGCTGCATTTGGGCCGCCAGGTGCATGGCACCGAGAAGATTCGCTGGGGAGAACGCGCCAATCTGGTGATTTGGAGCCGCAGTTGGGCGTGGCGAGCCGCAGGTCGGATCCACGTTTAACACGTTTTTTCACACACATATATATATATATATAATAGGTGTTTATGTTAGAGTTGTGTCAGATTATGGTGCTTGCAATTCATGTGATGATACGTGATCCAAAAAATATTCCAACATCCTCTCCAATTGGATTGGAGACGTGGCTGGTTCCACTTGAGGTGGAGACGGTCAGCTCCCGACCAGGCGCGCTGATTTGCCTGGAGACCTGCGCTGCTTACCGAGACGAAAATGCCTGTCCGATTCGGCTGGCCATGCATGAAAAGTCCATAGCATAAACACCTGGTACCCCTTTGCCACCTACTCCTCGCTTTGCATGATGTTTGGAGGGACAGCACTCCCTCAAATCCCAGTTTCGCAGAGTGTCGCCGTCCAGACACAGAATTAGAATTGAATTGAAGATGGAGACTGGCACGTAGAACCTAGAAGTCTTGGATACCAAAGCAAGGTACAAGATTTGGCCTTTTCAACTTGTGTAGCCGTGCATGCGCGTAGCGTTGCCATGGCCATGCTCCAGGCACGGCGGGGCAAAATAGCATTCTTGAATGCCCGCTTGGAGAAACATGGCAACCACATGCAACAACTTTGGCCAGGTCGATGCGGGCTGGTAGTGTTTGGGACTTGGAAGGGTTTGAATGTTGTGGACACGGGTAAATGCTGTACTGTAAGATGGCAGTGATGGCAGTGTGTGTGTTTTTTTCAAGAGCCGCGTGCTGCTCTCTTGTGCGCAGGGCCTTGGATCAAAGCTGAACGCTAAGTTCGAGAGCTGGTTGAAGACTGTCACCACCCGTCAGTGCCATGGCCAGTCTCCGGGTTCGAAACTTGGCCGGGAGTCTTTTGTTGGAGACGCAAGTTCCAAAAACTCTCGATGATACCGATGCTTCTCTCAAAGATTTGATGGAAGAGGTGAGCACAGCGTGGGGAGTGCCCTCAGACCTGATTAAGCTTGTGTACAATGGCATGCCGCTGGAGAGCCTTGAGGCACTTGAGGGGATGTCAGCTGAATTGGTGGCAGTCATTGATGAGAGTCCCCTCTATACTTGGGATATTGAAAGAAATCCCGACAAGAACCGTCTTTCGGTCAGCGGTGCGGCTGTGACCTTTGAGCGCATAGATCCGATCGAGGACTATGTGAATGTCCTTAGCCAGTCGCCTGTCCGCCAAGGGATTCACTTTGTGGAATTTCACATGCATAGCGTTCTTGATGAGCAGTGGTGTGGTGTGACGATGTTCCCAGACAGGGCAGGTTGCCGAGGAGGACTTGTACCTGGGTGTTTCTACTATTCTGGCCGTCGGTATGCTTCGAAAGGTGCTTTGGACGCCTTCCGCGAGAGGCAGCATGTCCTTGATTTTTCACACGTGCAGAATGGTGATGTAATTGGACTGCTTTTGGATGCTGACCGTCATGTGGCCCTCTTCTCATTGAATGGCAAGTTTCAAGGAGGCTGTCGGCTCCCAGATCTACCCATGTATTTTTGTACAGCTTTAGACGAGGAGGGGGACACTGTGGAATTGATGAGATGCCCTGTGGAGGATTTTCCTGTCAAACTTGATGATGTGATAAGCACGCCTCGCTTTGTGAACAGAGACCTGTATGAAGGTGAAGGCCCCCGGCATGTTGCGCGGCTGTCGCCGCCTATTGACTGGCTGGATTCGGATGTGGGCTCTTCGGATGATTTGTGACAGGACATGTGGACCATCCACAGCCTTGGCGGTTGTCATTGGGATTGCACACCTTAAAAGGGAGTGCAAGCAAAGAAAGAGAGACGGAGAGAATTCGTTATATGGGACCTTATTGCACAAGACGAATGACTATATACATAAAACGCTCCGGGATTGGGATTCTTTCATCCTGAGGTCGGAAGGAAGATCACCCCGAGGGTGGCCAGATGCTGAGACTCGAAGCTGCACATGGGTTCGGATAGTCCGGTGCAGCTAAGCCTTACCCGTAGTTGAACGTTCAGAATTGTTCAGAGTGGAAAGTCCAAACCCCTGAGGCCGGGACGGGCCATGCGGTCACGCTGTGCCTCTGGTAGTTGTGGCCTGATTGAAGGCGGGACTTGACAAACCCCGGCGGACTCGTTGATAGCAAACGAGGAAGGAGAATATGAGAGCACGCTCATGTGACGTTCGGCCAGTGTTTAAGTCTCCTGAGTGCCTGCCGCTTCACGTGCTTGACAGCTGAGTTCCTTGTTCGACCGAGCCCAGAACTAGTTGGATCAGTTAGTCAGTCAGCAGTTCAAGGAGGATGCCACCCATGGATCGGTGTTGGGGCTTAAAGGTTCGCATTGGCAGAGCCTTGCCAGCTAAGAATCAGCCGAGAAAAAAATGTCAATCCTTGACTTAGTTTCAAACCGATAGGTCTTACCGAGGGATGGACCTTTGCTGCCCGGAATGCTGGAACCCATGGCAATGCAGCATCAGAGATTGCAGAGAACGTGCCTGGAGAACTACATCTAGCAGAGGCCACCCACCGCGGACACGATGAATGATCTATCGCGCACATGTGAGTATCTCACTTCCGGCTGATGCCAATAAGCACCGAGCAAGGATGCGACTAGGGGCTCCTGGCCTTACTACTACGAGCAAGAAGCTGCTACTAGGGGCTCCTGGCATCGCTACTAGGAGCGATCGGACGCTACGAACGGGGCTCCTGACCGTGGCGATACTCACATGTTCAGTGACCGAGGCCTTGACCAGAGTGATGGTCAAGCGCAGCTTGGCATAGCTTGGTGCCAAGCCTCCAATTGAGAGTTTTCGCCAGACCCCAGGTGGCCGCCGGCCGACTTGCGGCCGCTCCCGGAAATGCTTTCTGTGCCATGCACTTATTCAATTGCTGAGAGTTCAAGCGTCAGGAGATAGAAGGTGGAACTCATGTCACCACTGTTTTTTTGAGGCATGGGAATTCCTGCGGCAATCTCTTTGATTGCCATGATTTGGGGCAATACTACGTTTCTCGGGGTGCAGGATTAGAGGGGGAACCTGCAGACTAGACAACGGCGAGCTTTGTCAATTGTCGCAGTGCGTGCTGAGGTGGCTCGACCAATTTATAGACCCTGCAACTATCAGCGCAAGTCTGCATAGAGAGGCTTCGGCCGTCGTTGATGCCACGCAGGACAGTTCACTGTTGAGGCGCATCCAATGAATTGAATCGTGTCATTGTTCTGTGGTCAAGCTACCTGAACAATAATTGCAGGAGCGCGAGTTGGCAAAAGCCAGCAGCCGATCCTTGTTTGAGAAACTTGAGATGAACATCCATAGAGCTGCAGCCCTGTTTGAAGTGAATGAAGAGACATGAGGAGAGAATGAAACATATTTTCCGAGTGCAATTGAACACCAATTCAACATCAAACATCCAATTTGCGGGAGGGGAGGCCGAACAAATTGAGGATATCTTGATTTGTTTGACTTTTTGGGAGATTTTGTTGCTTTTGGCGGAGTCATGCTCAGTTGAGAAAGTAAGACGCACTAAACCTGGACGAAATTGCGGCCTGGCGGTTCTTTTCTAGGCAACACTGATGCTTTCATTGCTTTCATCCTTCAAGGCAAGCTTTGCAACATCTTCACGCTGGATTCTGAAAAGCTGTCGCTCTTCAACGTTCTGACTGTGGAGTCATGGCGACGGCACGTCCATGGAACCTTTGCAAGCAGTTCGGAGCTTTGCAATATCGTTGGTTCGAAGAGGCAGGCGCTAGCTGCTCTGCTAGCTCCTCTGCTAGCTGCTGAGGTTGTGAGTCATAGGTTGTCCAGCTTGAAGAAGTGCTCAGGACTTTGCAACGAGCCGGTTCTTATCAATGACCACAATGTGAGGATCTATGTGCCAGACCTGCCAGAAGAGTACTTCAAATTACCTTACCCGAGTGCTAAGTCAGACATGATCCGGTATGCGCTCTTGTACCACCATGGTGGAATTTATATGGATCCGGACATGCTTGTCAGGGACTTGGTCATTCTGTGTTGATGATTGAATTCATGGCCAGTGTCTGGTGTGCCTGGATCTGATGTTGCATTCGTGAAGGTTGTGAAAGACTTGGACTCAGTGGTGCAGCTTGCTGGTGAGAAAGCTCTGGTCTCATACCAGGAACATGAGCTCAGTAAGAAGAGATGTAAGGAACTCAGCAAGTCGGAATTTCAAGCTGCACCAATGGGGCGTCGATTCAGGGTCATGTTGCAGATGCATGTCGAGAGCCCAGGTGGTGAACACTTCAGTTCTGACTTTCTGGCCGGCCAAGAGGGCAGCCCTTTCTTTAAGGCTGGCGGTTTAGGTAATTACTGTAGCTGAGCGGAGCTTTCGCAGCGGATAGCATCATTTGGCACCTTCCCTTGTCCATCTTTGACAGGAGGTCTGGGAAAAACAGAAGATGGCTTTGATGAGACATTGTCCTGCAGACGAGAAGAACAAGGACATTGGGATCGATAGGAGGATTGCATTCTGAATCGAATCTGTAACATCCTTCAAATCTATATACAGTAGTCAAATCCAAAAATAGACCCGCCAATTGGGGCAGATGCCAGGAGAAGGTTTGTTGCTTCGATGCAGATGTGCCGTGCAACATCCCTTGGGCGGCGCTGGGTGATGGCATTGCTCATCCTACTTTGGCCAAGATGGATCAAGTTTCATCGCGTGGGCCTGAATGTTCGACACAGAGAGTGAGAGAGAGAGAGAGAGATGGATGGATGGATGGATGGATGGAAGGATGGAAGGCACTTTTGGTAGCCATGCCGGCACTTGATCTGAGGCACTGCTTTGCTGGTGCCGAGTCATTCACGCCGCCGGGATTTTTGGAAGCCTTGGAACGTTTCGGATCTGACAAACGCAAGGCAGAAGAGCACCTGAAGTCTCTCTGCTGCAGGTTGAGATTGGTAGGTTGCATTAGGTTGCAAGCTGCTAGATCGGCATTCGGCATTCCCTTTTGAATTTGGAGGTCCAGCGGAAGCACCCGCGTATTGGACGCTTTGCTTCACAAAGGCTTTGATGACTGTTTGTCCACTAAGTCCACAAAATGGGCAGGGCGAGAGCCTTTGAGCTTCTTGTCGCACCACCAAGTACAGCCATCAAGATTTGGTTCCTGGCTCAAACCATCAGTCAACTGGGAAGACACATGATAAATGCCATTGCCCCTTCTTGCTCTAAGAATGTCAGGATCGGATGGTGTATCGCACATTCGATGCGATCCTCTCCTGGAAAACAATGCGATGCAAGCAGCTGTCGGACAGGTGGGAAGCAGTCTATATAAAGAAGTCGAAGACACAGATCATTGGCTGTTTGGAGCACAAAGTTGCGATGTGCGCATGTGCAGAACGGAGGTCTGCTTTGCTTGGAGAACTTTTTGCCAGAAGTTTTGAGTCTGGGCATGGCACAAAGCCGCCAACCGCTTAGCTCCTGGAGGGCGCTGTTACAATCAGCAGCTGTGCAGCCAAGCCACTCATTTGTGTTTTGCTTCAGGCCTGAGCCAGTTGCGACTACAGCGCTTTTCCTCAAGCGACATCCCGAGTTTGCAGCCATTGGCCTAAAAGATGGCCAAGTTGGACACGTTCCTTGTTGGGCAAAGGCTCGGAGAGGCTGTTGTTACTGTACTTTTGTTGTGCTTGCCATCCAGCATGAACGACAGGCATACGCCAAAGAATCAAAACCTTCGCCGACAGCAACTGGTCCTGGTCATTAGAAGGGCTACTTTATGAGAGGAAACAACTACTGTCTACAATATGGCCAAGAGTTATGGCACAACTCAAGCCTCTAGATTTGCAGACACCTCTCGCCATTTTGCACACTCCTGACGACGTCTGCTTGAGGTTGTGAAAGGTGTGGACATCAAGACGCAGACTTCCCCCGCTCCGCCACGGAAGAAGTGCAAGATTTTCACCTTGTGGGAATATCAGACAGCTCCCCTGTACGCTCGGCTCAACGTAGAGACCTGGCGCCGGCATACGCGAGATCTTTGCGAGGAGCCCATTCTTATCCATGCCAGAAATGTGCTGAAGTGGATTCCGGACATGCCCAAAGAGTTCTTCAGGTTTCCCTACCATGCAGCAACATCTGACTTGATAAGACTCTCAGCTCTCGATGGCTGTTTCACTTCCCCCCATCTAAGTTGCCACTCAGGTGGGCCCAGGTCTGGCTTGTAGACATCGTTCCTAGCAGGTCTTGTTTCATGCAAGGGTGTGGCATGGTGCATGGGTTCGATTGATTGATGGCTTGGCTGATTGGCTTGGCGTAAGGGACAAAGTGGTCACGTAGGGACACCGCACACCGCCCCACTGAGCCTGCTTTCCTCACACCGTGAGAAGCTGTCATCATGCGCCTGTGTAAGGATACGGATTGATCTACCACCACGGCGGTATCTACATGGATGCTGACTTCATTGTCCTCAGGGACTTGACGCCAGTGATCAAGCGGCTGTCGGACCATGATCTCATTTCGTACGCCACAAGTAGCAACCCTGGTGGCGTGTGCTCTGACAGCTTCAGCTCCAACTTCATTGCAGGTCGGAAGGGAAGCACCTTCATGAAGAAGATGTGGGAGAAGCAGAAGGCTATGATCACGAAACATTGCCCTTTGTCAGACAAAAGCAAGGAGATTGTCTGCTGCTTTGACGACCCGAAAGTGGAGTGTCACATTCCTTTCGCAGGAATCGGAGAAGGGACCTCACACCCCATGCTGAACAAGTTATTGCAACAAGGTCTCCCTATGAAGACCTATTGCTTCGCAGATGAGGAATCGTTTGTTCCGGACCACTTCGCTTATGTGCTGGAGCATGTGCCCAACCTGAAGGAAGCTCAGGCTTACTTGGAGGAAAGGCACATCAAGAATGGGTTGGGCCGGATGGCATTTCACATGTTCAATTCAATCATACCGCTCAAGTCTTATGATTGCAAGAAGCTCTTCACTCAGGCTGGGGAGCTGTAGCATACTGTAGCATACTGTAGCCACTGGTTGAAGTTAGGAGTGATGAGAGCTAATTGACCACGTCTTGGACCCCGCAGGGCACCACTGTTGGGCACCTATACCTCACGTCCTTCAGCACTGGACATGGAAAAGAGCCGAAGCCAAAGTCGGAATCAAAGGCCGGGCCCTTTGATGAAATAGAAGAATCCGAAGACATTTAAGACATAATAGCGAATAATATCGTGTACATTCTGAACATCAACGCACCATTGACAATCAGGCCTTCCTGGCGGAGCATCCTGACTTTGAAGAATTCCATGTGAAGAACCAAGGGGGCTGGCCTTGCAAGAATGCACACACTGTGGCGCCACCCATCTCGACGCTTCCCCTGCAACGACAGTTTGTGTCTGAGTCTGACACTGCCCCATTCGAATTTGTTTGCACCTTCTTTTCCTCTTTCTTTCCCTGTTTGCGCTGGATGGAACGTAGCAGGCACTCTGGCAGAGTCTTGCAGCCAAGTTCACTTGCTAGCTACCTGCAAGTAGGCACATGTGCATCACGACTCCGGTTCTATTTCTGTGATGCAAATGATTTATTTTCAGCATTGGCAGTCGCTTCGGCTCAGGGAGTTGATAGGCGCTGAGCAGATGAGCTCCGAACCAGCTGAAGCAGTGGAACCAGCTGAAGCAGTGGAGCCAGCTGAGCCAGCGGAACCTGTTGTAAACTTTGCACCACCAGTTCCACCAGTCAAGGCGGCAACAAGTCCAAAGCTCAGCTTGCAACTTACCCGTTTTCCAGACCCCAAAAACACAGAGACTCCTTTTGCCAAAGGCTCCTCCCAGTGCAGGATATTTACCTACTGGGAGTATGAGGCCAGGTGAGGATCAGAATTGAGGATTACTGTATATAGATGCTTGAGACTTCGACTTGAAAAAATCATGCCAGGGTTTGGGACCACTCTACATCCGCATCAATGTGGAATCCTGGCGGCGGCATGCACCCCAATGTGGAGAGCCAGTCATCGTGACGATGGCCAATGCAGCTCGGATTCACACTGGAACACTTTCTTTCCAGTATTTTTGTTGGTGGCGGGTGTGCTGGTTCTGGTAATTATTCTGCGCTACTATGTCCTTGCATTTGGTTTCACCAACCCTTCTATATGCCAAATTCTGATTTGCACCTTGCATTTATTATTGAACGCTTGCTTCAAGCACTCAGGTGCGGGAGCACGTGTCTTGACCTCCAATTTCGGTGCTTTTCATGCATATATAGTTTGCTATACTTAAGTTTCCCTAAACATCTAGGAACCAAATGAATAGTGACTAGAGCGCTTCTTCAAGGACGCCCCCTGCTTTTAGGGCACCGGGGGGGCCTTTCTTGAAGAAGCGTGAGCTATCCTGCGTCCTAGGTAGTAGCTGCGTAGCTACTTAAGCTACTAGCTACCTAGCTACTACCTCCTCTACGGCCTACCCCCGCCAAAATGTTGTTGGCCTTCTCGAGTGTCAGGTCCCTGATGTCCCAGAAGAGTTCTTTCGCTTGCCTTACCCCGAGGCACCGTTGTCGCCGGTGTGTTTAGAGATGTTTTTTTTGCGCGTCCTGAGTCACGTGTTTGATGCGCAAGGCCAGGGCGGACTCCATTCGCTGGGGGTTGATTTTTCACAACGGTGGGATCTTCCTGGAGCCGGATGTGCTGATGGTGGATGACATTTCACCCATTCTTCAGAAGCTTGTGCCTTGCCACTGTGCTTTTGTGCAGCTATTGAATAGGGTGTGCCAATGCTCGAGGATTCTTCGTTGACGTCACGTTATAGATTATAGACATTATAGACATGGTCAGTGGATAGTCAGTGGTGCACTTCAACTTTGAGCATGCTTATAGAATATGGGTTGTCCTTTAGTAGGCGCTCACGTGTTTCTGCCGCACGGCCCAACAACTCCAAGACATTCAGAGGGGAGCCCCATGTAAATACATGCTTCAGATCCTTTAAGTTTGAGTGCTTGGGGTTGATGTACTGATGTGCTTAGAGTTAGATGCAGTTGGTGGTATGCATGTTGCATCATGATGCTTTGTTGGTTCGATGCTCTTTGAGTTTACCGGTATGTATCATTCAGAGCCACCTTGCTTGATTTGACATGCATCAAGAGGAGGAAGATACATAAGAACATTTCCAGAACCAAAGCATGAAGTGTAAGATAGCACTTCCGATGGCAGCTCAGCTCTTCCATCAAGGGTTCCCACAAAATGAATCGGCGGACTAACGGATAATGTTTTTCTCCGCATTGCTAGAGGGAAATGCCCTTGATGAGCTCGTTCGAATAATGCCCGCAACAGTGTGCAGTTGGGGGCAAACTGTTAGAATGAGGTGATAGTTTCATGGGAAGCCGTTGATAACATTTTAAGCATCCTCCATTCCAAGCCCGAAACACATAGAGTTAAACAACCGTGGAGTTAAGTGGTAACCGTATACGTTACGTGTTCAATTCTAACCAGTTTTGCCTTGCAGTACTGATACCCACAGACCATGCTTGTGAACTACTCCGTGGGTGATCGAGACCTTGTGTTGAAGAGTTAGTGCCTCGAGACATCGGACCACCTATTCCTAGGCCAGGAGCCCCGTTCGTAGCGTCCTTGCTCCTAGTAGCGTGGCACTTGTTACTACTAGTAAGGCACTTGTTCCTAGTAGCTTCTTGTTACTACTAGTAAGGCCAGGAGCCCCTAGTAGCGTCCTTGCTCCAGGTTTGGTTTTGCAATGCAGACTGCTCACTCATACCGATGCCACACATATGCACACGGCAGAGATGGCAGAGATGCAATTGACATTGTACTGCGAGCATAGGACTCCTACGAGCTGATTTCCTCTCAAGAAGATCCTGGTGAGGAAGACTGCACTGATCAGTTCAATCCAGCCGTCGTAGCTGGTCCAAAGGAAAGTCGCTACTTCAAGGCCAGGCAGAGCGAAGCGGAGCGAACTTGTGGAAGCAACCATTTGGGGGATCAGCGCTGACCGTTTATCGCAGGCCGTGTGGGAAGCTCATAGATCCAAGCTCGTGAAGCATTGCCCTTTAAAAGACAAAGAGAAAGAGATCATATGCTGCTTTGATGAGGTCAAAGTGACTTGGGCAGAGACATGATAAGACATGTAGAGCAGCAAACTTCAAAGCTTCATTGTCAGAGTTAGTCAGCCTAGATCAGCAAACTTTCAGAGCCAAGTGGTTCTTGCTAGCTTCATTGTCAGAGTTACGTAGGGCCATTGTCAGAGCCTCTTGAAGAAAGGAACGTGCGGCAGAATGTCAGGAGAACTGCCACGTGCCGTGGCTTTCGATGAACCGGGGCATTGCTCATCCCATTATTCGCTCATGGAGCCGCACCTACGGCAAAAAGCTGGCAAGTTATTGCTTCAACAGGCCAAAACGCCAGGACAAAGAACACTTTTAAGAACAATACTTTTTAAGGAACCTAATAGCGATGGCCTCCAACCAAATAGCAATGGCCTCAGGGTAGGACAGAGCAGCTTGTAGCATTGCCCCCTTTTCAGGGCTGATGGCTTCCAGCCCAATTACTTGCAAGACGTCGGACTCTCAATCTGCCTCTCGTGCCTTTGCTGCTGCCGATTGTTTCGGGCGTGACGCCGAGTGCCAGGTCGCCAGAGACAGGTGGGACGTGGACCGTGCGTCAAGATTTTGGGAGTCACATGGCGTGACGAGGCGAACTGGGGACACTTCTTAGAAGTTGGGGCAGTCGATGGAGAGGATGCATTCATCACCTCAGCTAGGCCGATGAAGAGGATCCTCTACCACTTCCAGCAGCATGGGATGCACCTTCAGGACCGAACTGGCCAGGAACCTGGACCTACCTGTTTCTCCAAACGTAGTCTTGTAGTCTTGGTCAGGAGCTGGATTGCACGAAGCTCTTCAACGAAAGCATCGTTGTGGGAGCACTTTACACAAACGCATTCTCTGGCGGAGCCAGTCAACCTGTGTTTGGAACGGATTCTTGCTCGAATTGCTTGTGCTTTGAGAAGTAGAAAGGGGATGAAAGTGGTTTGTAAGTGCCGCTGTGTCGACCGGAAGAATTTGGAAAGGAACTCTTTGTGTTCTTCAATTGCCTAACAAGACCAAAGGATGCCCAAGCAACCGCTGAATTCTTCAAGGCCAATCCTTTCATGCTCCTGTGCTGCAGAGGGTTTTGTTCCGCAGAGCGTTGCACGAAACCAGTTGGAGACTACAAGAAGGTCCCCCTTCGCTTCAGCATGACCGAGGAAGAGTGTGAGCCATGCCTACCAGGACATGTACTGTAGACAGTTTTCCCAAGCTGGTGCCTATAAATGCACAACAACCAGACTTCGGCATCTTCCCATGTGGTAGTAGCTTTAGATGAACTATGATGAACTGGTTGCGTGGAGATGCCTGAGACGTGTTGGACATACAGGGTCAATGAAGAGTGTTGATGCGCGAGTCAAATTCTGACACCGCCACATTGCCACATCAATCGGATCCTGCAGGATGGCTTGCCTTGCAAACGCTTTGGTCCGCCCAAGCTGCCTTCATTGCCCCCAAACTTTGGAGGAGGGCTGCAAGTGTCAATCTTGCGGAGCCTGCTAATGATAATGTTTGAAAGCTCTCCTGATGTGGTGCTTCAGTGCTTGTGTATACATACCTTGTCGAATGTGAGTTCGAAGCAAGAGCTTTTGTGTGAGGCAAAGCTGTTTGCCGCATTTTCACGCTTTGGGAATACCCGGCAGACAAAGGACGACGATCGCTGCACAAGTGGAACTGCTTCATGTTTGCACTCAGCTGTGGATGCATAATGGCCCTTTGCCAGGAGCGCCTGTTTTCAAGATGCTCAACGTCGAGTCTTGGCGTCGACATACCCATGGACTTTGCCAAGAGCCTGTTTTGATCAACGACAGGAGCCTTGGATTCATATAGTGATAAAGTGTAGCATCTCGAGACAGGAGGCTGCCTCCAGCTCTCCCACCTCTCAAGTTGGTCCAGCCGTCCCCATGCTGGAAACCCAGGAACGTAAGGGAATGGATTCCTGACATGCCGGACGAGTACTTCAGGCTTCTTTCGGTGTCAAGCCTATCAAACTGCACAAAAGTTGCCTTTGCGGACCCGCGTTGCGTTGCCAGGATGCCGGCTCCTGCTCCCAAATCAGACTTGATCCGTTACGCGTTGCTTTATCATCACGGAGGGCTCTACATGGATGCCGACTTTGTGGCCGTCAAGGCAGATATCTCAGATGTTCGGTGTAAAAACCATCCTAAGCTCTACAGTGCAGCACTGCTTGGTGTTTGTATTGCTGTTATGTCAGGACATGGATCCAATTCTGGCGTTGCTTGAAACGCATGACTTCATCTCCTACCAAGAGAAAGGACTCCAAGATTACTTGTTTCATGTTGTTTCAAAGGGCTCGCTAATTGCAAGGCCGTGCAAATGTCAATTCATCAATTTTACAGGAGAACCAGGCCAGGCCTGCTCGAGCGCCTTCAGCTCCAACTTGCTTGGTGGAAGGACTTGGGTTGCATGCATGCTTTGGTTAAAGAAAGCTGGTTCAGTCCAAATTCAAGGATACGCACAAAGGATACACTCCCGAAATAATCATGGAAGTGGAAAACCACCTTTTGATCCTGTTCTTAGAGGAAACTTATCCAAGGGACCATTTTCCACTTCCATGACTATTTCAGGGAGTGTATAGAAATTGAAGTTCTTTACTCTCGGTTTAATCCCACACAGCACCGTGCATCCGGCTACACAGTTATACGTGTAATTATGTATATAACTATGTATAATATACTAGTGTTTGATAATGCATCTTCAGGATTGCACTTCGTCAGTAGGCTCTCCGTGTATTGCTTGTGTCAGGAAGGGCAGTCCTGTGCACAAGTTCATTTGGGAGCGGCAGAAGGAAAAGATGCGGGTTCGTTGTGGAAGGAAGGATGCTGACGGCAATCAGGCGTGGTCAGTGTGGTAGATGTCCGCTTGTGACGCGACGCTACAGAATTCTGATGGTCGGTTTGTCCCAAGCTGTTTTTAATTTATTTTTCAGCTAGTAGGTTTGTGGCCATTGCTGGTAGGTTGGAGGCCACCGCTCTTAGGTTAGAGGCCATTGCTATTTATAATATATGTTGGTGGCAGTTGACCTGAGGCATGCTGCTTTGACAGCTCCAGGAAGACCTGCAGCGTTCCATGGGCATCGCTGGGGGAAGGCGTTGCTCGGATCCTGCAGCGTTCCATGGTCCCCGTTGACCTCGACATGTGCGTCGCCTCGACATTGTGCTCAGGTTTCTCATCCTGCCTTCAATGAACTGCTGAGAACAGGTGGGAGAAGAAAGATAGAGTATACCTAATTGATCCGAATTGCACTCTCAAAAGGTCAAGCAACATGTGTTTTTTGTTTCCTCCTTTTTCCGGGAAAATATACAGTTGTTTCTTTGCTTCAGATTTGCTGTCATGGAATCATACGCACCAAAAAATCAATGCACAAAGGACCGCTACTCCTTTTGTTGAGACCATGACAGGTGAGATCTTCGAGACGTTCTGCTTTGCCGATGAGTGGACTTTTGTGCCAGACCACTTTGCGTACTCTGTGGAGCACATTCCCTCGAAAGCAGAAGCCCTCAAATACATGGAGGAAGCTTCCCTGACATGACGGAAACCATTGTGCCAAGTTTAGCAAAATGACACTTCCCAACATTCCACCACCAGAGGTGTTGTTGAATGATCGCGGTGTTTTCTTTGGCGGGGTGACGTGCCACTGACTGAGGACAGAGGCATCAGAAAGCCCTTGGACAGGACAAGAAAGCTTGAACAGCAGCACAGTAGCACATGGCTTGTGGAGCGTGCCTTTACTGCGACCAATTTTTTGAAGTCGCCGCAGGATCGTCTATCACCTCTTTAATGCGATCACTCCTCTGAAGAGCTGGAAGTGTATGACTTTGCTGGACCCCAGGCGATTGGTGGGCTATTTGTACACAGTCACCTAGCTGGACTAGACGTTGTTGAAAGCTGTGGACCACAAGGCTACGCGCTACGGCGTCGACGTAGCGCATTGAGGAAAGCTTCAAGTCAGAGTCTGGCCGACGCCCTGTACCGAAAACTGATGACTCAGAGGCATGGCTGAAGGCCGAGCAGAGATGTTTGGCAATTCGTGCAAAGGGCCACGAATATTTATCAGTTTTGCTGACTGGGGCAGGCGCACCCTGAGTTTAAAAAGTATCAGGAGGCAGGATGGTGATCTTGACTTTGGGCCGGTAGTGGGTTCTTGCCAAGTAGTTGTAGGTTTACAACGGCTGGCAACCATGCCCTGGTCCTGTACCTGACCCAGAGACCACTCCGATGCCAAATGAGCAGAAGGACCCTGCCCAGGACGGCCTCCTTGTGAACGCACGCTTGGATGTGAACAACTTCAAAAGGGTTGACCTCAGCAGTATATACAGTATATATATATATATACTATATACACGTATATATCTGCGGAACAGATGAGAGATTTCAGCCAACGCATGGAAAACGATACCAGCACATGAAAAACGATACCTGTTTCAGTGAATTTGCATGTGCACCTCAATGAACTAGGTTAGTGCTCTTTGCATATGGCCAAGTAATGTTTTGAATGTACGTTTGGCGTTCCAAAACTAGATTTGCTGGAGCGAAGCCAGACCGATATTACCTAAAATGATGCCAACACCCACAAACATTTGCTCTGCTGAACCTGGCCCATATGCACAACACTTTCGATTGAATAAGCAACAACGACAGCAGTAAGAAGCAAGAGGTTGCTGTTGTTTCTATCCGCAATGTGATGTAATAATTGATTTTCTTTGGAAAACGGTACCAGAACACTGCCTTCTTAGCTATTCAATTTTTTCACAATAGTTTGATCATCGCTCATGTGCTTTTATTTGTCCTGTAGCCCTTGGCAATCGCAGGGCAGTGACTGCAAGATCTTCACCTTGTGGGAGTACAAGTCAGGGCCACCAATGTCCGTCACCTTGAACGTGGAAGGCACGTGCCTACCTGTTCAGCGATGTGCTATGCAATACGAATTCGAGTTGTGGCAAGTTCGAGGAAGAGCATGTTGCAGTTGACATGTTGCAGACAGATGAATAATGGCCCAAGGTTCAAGACAATGCCTGCCAAGCACTAAAATCAAGCTGACCCGTGAAGTCAACAGCTCATCGGTAGGCTTCCAACAATAGTCCGCAAGCAACATGGCCCTCATGCTGTCCTCAGCGCCTGCCATTGCTCCAGCCCCTCTTCGAGCTGTTTCGAGCACACGCCCCTTCACTTTGAGAGGCCGGGTTGGCTGTCTTGGCTCTATATTGTCCGATCATACACATCCGTTTGATGTCTGAAGTGTGATGGAGGTGGCTCTGACACCGCCCTCCGCAGCTCATGCATTGCTGCTGGTGTGTTGTGCACGGTGCACCGAAAGCGGCGCGACTTCTCATGGCGAGCTCAAGTAGGCGAAGGCACAACACCTCACAAGGATTCAGCACTTCAAGGGCTCACAATTGTCCCGTTTTTTTAGCAAGAGGGACTTCTGAATTGATGCTTAATGGATCGACCGAGTTTTCGACGCTTTCTTTAATGACTATGTTGCCTTTCTTACTTGACATTCCCTTTGTTGTTTTGCATCCACATTTGCAGTTGTTTGCTTTTGCTGTGCTTGTCTTCTGGTCCGGGTGTCATAAGTGTTTAGAAATATAGGCTTTGGTGGCCCTCTTGATTTGGACAGGTGCTTCTGAAGGAAAGGTACCAAAGTTCTTGCAGAAGCTCAGGGCAAAGTTGCCCAAGCCTCCGAGCAAGGAGGACACACCTTGAAAGCACAATCTAGCTGTTGAGCCTTTTGGAGCCTTGCACTCTGTTGTTTGAAGAGTCCCATCTGCAATATGGTGTTCATGAGTCTTCATGACAGGAGATGAAGACATATGGCACTGCGATGGTTTTCAGCTATTCCTTTGTGGGGACCTTGAACATGTGTATCATGGTGGCCATTAGTTGGCCTCTTTTCATCCTGAGAACGGGAGGAAGCCCAGTGCTGTTTACACCATTGAAGATGAACCCCAAGTACATGCTGTATCTCACTGGCGTGTACTTCACCTATGGCAGTTGCACCACACCATTCTTGCTGGCGGCTGCACTGGCTTTGGCACCCCTCTTCTCGGGGCTTCTTTCGACTTTGAGAAAGCGACTGAAATGTCCGAAATGGTTGGCATTTCTTTTGCTGGGTCTTCTAATGAGCGTTGCCTACGCTCTTGCGTTGCCTTTGCTCATTGCTCTGGCTTGCTTAGCCTTTCATCAGCCAGTGTGGAAATGAGAGCAGGCGGAGGTGAGGTCAAGCCCCTCTAGCAGACTCTAGCAGTCAATAGTTCAATAATGTTCAATACATGACATGGTGGACATGGTGGGGATCCCCACCACCCCCTGCAGCTCAATATAGCTCAGTTGTAATTCATGTCCAATTGAGAGATGCACTGAGTAGCTGAAGTGTGTGGATAATCGATGTACAGCTTCACGGCCTTTCGAGCTTTGCTCACGAGCCGATCTTTAGGTAAAGCAAAGCTGCTCGAGTATTGATGGGGAAAGGTCTGAGTGGATGAAGAAGTGGTGTCAACAAATAACAAGGCTGCATGTCAACCCTGTTTCTGCAGGCTGGCGTCGTCATTCCAAAGGTCGGTGCGGAGAACCTGTTTTAATCAATGATGATAACGTACTGACACTTGGCGTTTCCGACGATGCTGCGTGCGCGCTGGGTACTGTTTCTTTTGAAGACAATCGAGCCGGGCTGCGAGCATTATGCTTCAGCCTGTGAAGATCCTGGTTGGGCGCACAATGTACAATGTTCAGAATCAAATGACTTTTCGATGTGTTTTTGCATTGTGGGCCGCTTGTGTTGCCCAGGACTTACCTGCCAGATATGCCAGTGGAGTATTTCAGTTGCTTGCCTTCATCCCACATTATGTCCCAGTGATAGACGTGTCTTTGCCCGAGAGCCCCAAGGAATGCCATACTCCCAAGCCAAGTCGGACATCATCAGGCTGGTTTCTCGGTCCTGCGTTGTCGACTCGGTTTTGGCACGGAGCTACTCATTTGATCCTGAAGGTACGGCCTGCTCTTCCACCACGGAGGCATGTACATGGACACTGACTTTCTCGTTGTCAAGGACTCGCATCACTGTAATGCGTGAACATTGCCAATTGCATCCAATTGCCCTGTTGCCGCAGAAAAGTGCAAAAGGATTTGGACGAAATCCTGGACCTGACACAGTCCTACGACCTCGTGTCTTATATCGATGATGCGTGGATGTATAGACCATTGTCACCGATTGTCCCCCCAAAAAGTACTTTGATGATCTTTGATGTACCGTGCAAGGGTATGTATTATACAGCATGTCACAGCTGCTTGTTGTGTAAGTGACCAAAGCGAGCATTACACATGGAGAGATATTAGATGTTCCTAAGGACAGCTCTGGCAGCCTGGAGAAGGGCATCTTGGCTGCTACTTACAGGTATTGTAAGAAGAATCGCTGCTACGTGCCTTGCTACGGGCATTGATGATCAGTGATGGCGTTTTCACAATGGGAGTCTGACCGAGACCTAGTCCGAGGAGCCTGCTCCAAGCACTTCAGCTCCAATTTCATGGCTTCAAGGAAGGGTAGCACCTTCATGAAGGCAGTATGGGAAAAGCAGAAGTGCCTTGGTCAAGATTGACTGATCTCTTAATTAATTGATTTCACCGTTTCGGCGAACTCTCCAGGCAGCTCATGGTGACTCATTGTCCGCTGTCCGAAAGAGAGATGGAGAAAGTGTGCTGCTTTGATAATTCGAGAGTTGAGTGCCACATTCCCTGGGCTGGCTACTTGGCTGTGTTTGCACAGGCTGGACTTTTGTGGTGTTAACGAACTCTGCAAGCTTTCAACTTGCCTCAGGAATTGGAGAAGGCGTGTCCCATGGAGTGTTCGAAGAGCTGGATTCTGATGGAGTGGCTATCAAGTCCTATTGTTTTGCGGATGACCGAGGCTTTACCCCACCCGATATGATCAACATCCTTCCTGGGTCCGCCGCTTCTGCCACACAAGCATGGCAACGCATGGGCAAGGCAACAAGCAAAGATCCGTGGGGACGTATCATGTACCACACCTTTAACTCGATCATGCCCTGGTCTGGCTACACCTGCCAGAAGCTTAGCATAGAAGCCTGCCACGGTGGCGACTTTAGGGTGGAAGAACCCCCCTCCACATGTCTTCACCCATGAGGCAAGCAAATCTTCAACGCTACATCTGTGTATGGCAAGCTCAACTTACTCAGCTACACCACTGGAAGTGGCTCCCAAGCCTTGCCTGCCACTGCGGATCATCTCGAATGGCTTCAAAAGTGCTTTGGCTGCAACGGAGCGGGTTGAGCCAGGTTGCTGATCGCAGCTGGGACCTCCTCCAACGTCGCCACTTGGGCCCTGGTGATCCCACGTGTTGTTGAGCACGGCTTTTGACAGCCAAACCCAAGCGCCGGATACCAGTTAAAATTGCGACTTCAACCTCAAAGCGTCTCAGTAGAGTCTATCATATCAATCACTTTGCCGTGCAGGTCTGAAGTGAAAGAATCTGAAGTGTGAAATTCCTTAATTCGGCACTCCTCGATCTCCTCGAAGGATTTTTTTAGGGCTGCACTCAGCAGATTCTGATTCGCAGACCTAGTCAATCGGGATCGATTGGGATCGAAAGTTGTTGATCGTGTTTTTGCTTTGGGCAGTTCACTTGCTGTTCATGTTGGGGTTGAAGCATGCTAAGCATGATCTAGGCTCATATTCTTGCTGCCATGTGGCAGCACAGCACTCACGCAGACAGCTTGTGCAACTGCTGAGGCATAAGATGAAGCGCCTGTCTGAGAAGACAGTCGGCTTGCCCTGCTAGTTGCTTGATTTCATGATCGTGAGGAAGAAGATCTGACGGAATGCTCTCTGGTGCAGCCACGAGATGTAGAGACTCCTGTTTGCAATTAGGATTCATTATTCTTTCCTGATGGCATTTTATGGCCACTTTAAGCCTTCAAAGCTCCCCAACTTACAAGATCTTACAAGGGCAACATACTTGCAAAGTAGACTTACATAGCTCTTTGATGCTCTTTGTGTTGAAATTATGCATATATATATAATACATCCTGTTGTTTCAGTTGCTTCTCTACTTTTTGTTTTGTTCTTTACTTTACCTTTACATTGTTTTTCTTGATTCATTGGTTTCCCGCACAGCCGATCGAAAACCGACAGACCAACGGTTTCTTCACTAGTGCCGACGCAAAGCATTATGTTGTGCAAAAGATGTATTTTTTTGAGCTGGGACATTCCGGCGCTGCAACCTCACCTGCCTCCTATTGCAAAAAGCCTCGCCCTTTTACCTCCCTGAGTGCCGCTTTGTTGGTTTTCCTTGTTTTGCTTTGCGGGTCGATCTCACATGTTTTTTTTGATGGTTGCTTTTTTCACCAAACTCTCTTGACTACACGCCAACAACAGACGTGTTCAAGCTATGAGAATTGGAGCTTATGTGTTCAAAGAAGGCAATTTCTTCCAATGGACGTGTTTGGTGTGAGTGCTTTTGCTGCGTCACTTCGCCAGCCCGTCGCATTACATCGCAGAGGTTTGGCGAAGTTCAACGAGATTAACGAGCAGACGAGCAGACGAACAAGGCTTCCGCGCAACGGAGGAGCTGGGAAGTTCCGCTAGTCTATGGCTGAGGTTGGGTAAGGGAAGCTGAAATTGTGGCCGTCCCTTCACTCTGCAACACTGCCAAAGTGCGGTGGTACCTCACTGCAAGCCTAGCGGAGAAACGAAGGCCCTTCAATGATGCCAATGATGCGTCAAGTTTTGAAGCATTCTGTTTGATGCCGCACCTTGAAAGAAGTCGACATCACACCTTGAAAGTCATTTTGAACAAGACAAGGGCGCTGGCCCTCGCAGTGAATACAAACATGTTGATCGCACATGTATTGGTAGCCACCGCCTCACACACGTGATTCCCTGCGGCGGTTGACAGCATTTGTCGTTCTACGATGAGTCATGATAAGTCGTTAACACCTTCCATGAGCTCCAGCACAGTTGCAAGCCGGTTGGCTGACCTGAACCGAGCACATGCTGGCCATTTTCGCTTGCTGATTCTATGCGGGCGAGTTTGACAGGTGTGCGAAGCTGCACACGACCGCCATGGAGCATCTGGGCTTTTCTTTGGAAAAAGTTGGCAATCCCTTGGCGTGTGCCATTCTCACCCACAGGCATTCAACTCCAAACCTTTCAAGTGCCACTGCTAGAGAAGCTGAGGGTGTTTTGCGAGCAAGCCTCGCCTGCCGCCATGCTCACCGTCTAGCACTATGACATTAGAACAGAGGGAGCTCTATGCGACTTGTATAAACCTTTATGGGGTCACTGGGGTCACTGGGGCCACCTACTTGTTACAGAAGAATCCGCAGCGTAGGTTGGAGGCCATCGCTGTTAGGTTGGAGGCCAATAAGTCACTGGGGCCACCTACTTGTTACAAAAGAATCCGCAGGGTAGGTTGGAGGCCATCGCTGTTAGGTTGGAGGCCAGTAAGTCACTGGGGCCACCTACTTGTTATAGAAGAATCCGCAGCGTAGGTTGGAGGCCATCGCTGTTAGGTTGGAGGCCAGTAAGTCACTG